GGTTTTGTTTCATGATTTGCAGTTCTGCTGCCACAAATAATCGGTAGAGTTCAGACCTTCAAGTCAACAATAGATTGGATTGATTTTAATTTTCAGTCAGGTTCGGGCTAAAGACAATTTGAATGTAAGATAAGCTTTAAACTGTTTGGAAAGACTGTACAGCCGTGTTATGTTTATTCAGGAAACATGTAAGCTCTTTTTCTATGTACATGTTTGAATAAATCTTGGACTGAAATTATTACTGTTTCCATCGTTTTTGTACTACACCTTTATTCTGTAGAAAATTTCATGCTGTTCGACTCAAACGCTATTTCAATCCCACACAAACGCTATTTCAATCTTAGTTAAGACCCGTGAAGATCCAGGGTAGATTATGTCTTCAGCAACCCATGCTTGCCACTAAGGCGACTGTGCTTGTCGTAAGAGGCGACTAACGGGATCGGGTGGTCAGACCCGCTGACTTGGTTGACACATGTCATCGGTTCCCAAATGCGCAGATCGATGCTCATGCTGTTGATCACTGGATTGTCTGGTCCAGAATCGATTATTTACAGACCGCCGCCATATAGCTGGAATATTGCTGAGTGCGGCGTAAAAGTAAACTCACTCACTCACTCACTTACTCACTCAATCTTAGTCATTCATGCTTTTAAGTTGTCGCTTTCTTCAGAATTTTGGGTGAAATAACTGATCAAATATATAAACACTGACATCGATACTATAGGTCATCGATTGTCTTTTCTTCGGTATGCCATTCTTTCCATTGAACATACGTCCGATGAGATACGTTAGATATCCCTGGTCTGATTGAAATGTTAAGACTCAAGTATAATTGATGGTCACTTTCAGTAGGATATCAGACGAAACATCTTTTTTTCAAATATATTTTGTTTTTTCGACTTCTGAAAAATGTTCATCTTTTGATTAATGTTTATTTTTTTAATGGTTTTTCAATAGTGAAACGACACGGGTCGGAGTATTGTGACGACGTCTTACAAAGTTAGAAAGGTGTAAAGTATTTGGGCAGTTCATTAACGGTAAACTTGAAAACAGTTCATGCAACACAACCGAGTAGTTAAACCCCAGAAACAGGTATATACTTATATCCAGCTACCTAGATATGTACTCCCCTCAAAAAATGTATGCGATACTAGGAGGTAACTTCAAATTCCTAAACTGTAATAAGTAAAATTACTTTCTATGAATAGCGGTGTCAAATTATTGCACGAATTGGGAACGCATTACTTTTGGTACATGCAATGAAGTACGACAGCAGGTGATATGACCGCGAAGATCGACAGGGTTAAAGAAGGGACATTTCAAAATTGACGCTATGGGATCAGTTTTAATCTGCCACGATTTCTCAAATGTTCCTTCTGTCGACACGCCAGACTGTGTACGTACGTTCCAATGGACATTTAAGGGAGTACTTCTCACTCCTCTGGCAGCGCCTTGCCTTGTGACGCACATGTCCCAGACGTATACAGTGAGGGAAAAGTCTGGGTTCGTTGCTGGCCACACCATTCTATGGGTGTTGTGCTGCTGGCAGTGACCACGGGCATTGTCGTTCTGAAGGACAAAAGCCAAACGCCTTTTTAAAGGGAACACAAAGGCCGTATATTGTCTCGATGGTTTTTAGGTTGCCCTTTCTTGCATAACATAGATGGACCGCCAAAGCATGCATGAAGTGTCATTTTGACGTTGGCTTGACGTGATGGGGGCGGGGGAACTGCTTATGAACTGATGCCTTATTACCATTTAATTCGTCACCACCCGCCCCTTAACGTTGCCTACTAGAAGACTCGTTCCCTTTTCGATGGCAGGTTTATGTTGGTTGTTTTTTTGTTTTTTTGTTTAATCAACAACATCAACCTTTTACTGCACCCATGCGAGTGGTAGTAGGGCCTATTCCATCATTTGACAAATCATGCCAATCCCTGTTAATGCTATTATATAGACTTTTGAATAGCTTTCTTTGCCATAAACAAAAAACATGGTGTAAACAAAAAACTCCATCCATGGTTCCCTTCATTACTATATATTTCATATTTTATATTCAATGACATTTGGTAACCAGGACATTTCCCCCCTTCTTTGAAACCAGCAACTAGTAGGTGTTAGAAAGGATTTGATTTGTTTCGCTTTAGTTTTTTATTCCGCTGACCATTCCCACTTTTCAATTAGAGGTTTCAGTTTTAGTAGATTTTTTTACAAGATGGCAGCCTCCATGTAACCAACTGCTGCCATGTGCTCTGAAATAAACACTTGGAATAACGAACAGACACTTCTTTTCATGGTCCCGCGAGGCGGATAAGTTGCCAGATGGATGGAAGAACACTGTCCCGTGTCTTTAGTGATGAATCACTATTTTCCAACATGGATAGACTAACCAACCCAGTCTCCCATGCAGTTACCAATAGCATCACGAAGACAACCCCAATCCGGACATCAACGGTGACAACCTCCACTACAATTGCCCAAGGTTTGATTCAGAGTACTTTGCCTTTACGTCAATCCTCACGAGAGAGACATTTACCTAACCATTTGACAGATTATGTGTTAGACCTCCCAGGTGGCAGAAATATAGAAACGTCCGTTCACTCAGTGGATAAGCCTGATGATTGCCAAACTAAACACTCCGTGAGAACCAGAACTTCAAATGTGTCCAGACATTCAAATATGTCTAATGTGTCACTAAACTCCAAACTAAGTGATCTTCAATCAGCAGAGTTAACCAGACAGAGGAGACAACTAGAGTTAGCTGAACTAAAGAGACAGGCTGTGGAAGATGACAAGGTTGATGAAGAAATGAGGCTATTAAATGATAAAGCATATTTGGCTCGTGTGGAAGCAGAGGAGGAAATGCTGAAGGCTCGAAAGAGAGCAGAAGAGATTGAACGTTTGGTGATAAGACAGCGTGAGAAACGAAATACGGAGCTGAGTAGACAACGCAGGATCCGTGAGGCAGAGAATTCCTTAAAGGAAGCAGATCTTTTGGCATCCATGATAGGAATGGGTTTGAATCCTTCAACTGCAGTAACCACTTCCACCACTATTACCTCATCACCACAAGGTCAACATACTGTAATGACGAATGTTGGAAACCGGGTCAAACAAGACAAAGTTGTTATCAAGACAGAGAAGTCTGACCAAGAGGTGAATCCTTCCACTCTGTTTTCTGTTGAGAATACCATGCCTGTACCATGTGAGAAGAAAACCTGTGTAAAACATGATGAGCCAGCCTTGCCACTGAACATAGCTGCTGAGCCATTCCAAGGTGCTCCAGTTCACCCACCTTCTGGAGGTGCACCCTTTGTACCAGAAACTTCTGGTACACCAAGTTTCCGCATGGATATGGTCCACCTATGACACCAAACATGACTGAACTTTTGATTTCGTCGTCATATGGGATTCCACGGCCTACACTGCCTTTATTCGATAGTGAGAAGGAAAAAGACTTTGCTATTCTCAAAATGGCCCTGGATAATCTGGTCAATGTCCATACTCATTTAACTGAACAGTATAAGTATCAGTTGTTGCTTGATAGACTGGGTGGAAGAGCTAAACGTTTAGCAGAGGCATATATGTATGCACCACAGCCTTACTCTGAAGCCTTTGAAGCCCTCAAGAACAAGTATGGTCAGCCTCGCCAGTTAGTTCAAGGAGAGCTTGGAGCAATTTTGAGTATGCCTTTCGTAAAGTTTGGAGATAATGAGGCATTTGAGAACTTTGCCCTCGCTGTACATTCCCTGGTTGGGATGTTGAAGTCTCTCGAGGGTGACAGTTGTGCAGAGTTACAGTGTGGTTCTCATGTGGACAGACTGTTAAGTAAGCTACCAATGAGTTTAAGAGACAGTTTCATCGAACATTGTATCAAGACGGGTGTGATAGGGGAGCACTCAAGTCAAACCTACACACTTTCTCAGTTTAGTCATTGGCTTCAGATTAAATCTCAAGCTAGACGTCTATCCGGTCAAGTCAGCTCATCATATCATAACGATGGCAACCGACCAGACAGTGGTAACAAAGCCTTGAACATTGGTCGATTCAGACGTATACAACCACGGAAAAGTGAACCAACAATGATGACCAGTTTCCATACGCGATCTGATTCACGAAACCCAAGTATCCATGCTCCTACACCCAGTACAAAGGGTAGGGATGAAACAAAGGTGATGACCAGGTTCAGGGCCTACTGCCCTTACTGCTCTTCCTCAGAACACTATTTGAACTCTTGCAAGGATTTTGAGAAACTCTCATTGGACCAAGTTGTCAGTTGGATGAAAGAGGGGAACCGGTGCTCGAAGTGTGCACGTACTCACAAAACGGTAGACTGTACACTCAGGAAAGTGTGCCACACCTGCCAAGAACTGCATTTGACTGTCCTCCATGATGCAGTTAACATGGTTAAAGCCCAAACTAACAAGGTATATTCAGTCATAGCAGAGAAACCAGCGGTTTATGTTGACCAACCTTCCAAACCATGTTCTGTTATGTTGAAAGTTGTGAAAGTTGTCCTCCATGGTCCAGGTGGTTGGATGGAAACATATGCTGTCCTGGATGATGGGTCACAGTGAACTATGATTTTGACAGCAACTGCGGAAAGGCTTAAACTCTGTGGTAGAACAGATGAAATCCTCCTGTCCACAATTAGGCATGAATCTTACCATTGTACAGGGAAGAGTGTCAACCTTTCCATATCACCAGGTGACTCTCCACAGATTCAGTATCCTATATCAAATGCCTTCACATCACCTTCACTCTGCCTCTCAGAATACACCTATCCAGTGAAGGATTTGCAGGTTAGATGGCCACATTTAAGAGATTATCCCCTACCCTCAATCTGCAATGCACAGCCTGTGATTTTGATTGGTTGGGACTATGCAGACCTGATTCTCCCGCAGGAACCTGTGCGCTTTGGGCCCAAGGGAGCACCAGTCGCTGTACATACACGACTAGGCTGGTCTTTACAAGGCCAAGCAGACATGCACTTATCGCGGATGTCACAGACAGCTGAGCAGTGTTTACTCACTTCCAGTGTTCACCATGATCCTGAACTTTGGAGTAATGTTGAGAAACTGTGGCAGATAGATGCTGTTCCCAATGGAACAAAGGATGTGACCAGATCAAAGCAGGACAAGCAAGCTTTAGAAACTTTAGAGACGTTCACAGAAAGAGTGGAGATGTATGAAGTAGTGCGCTATGCAACACCCCTGTTATGGATTAGAAATGGAGTTTCACTTAATGCCACAGTAGAATCTGTGACACAGAACCTCATCCGCACAGAAAGGCGACTTCAGTCAAACCCTGAACTAGCTTACGTACACAAGGACGAGATCCAGAAATTGGTAGATGCTGGTTATGTGAAGATGATCAGCCCTGAAGAGGCTGAGAAAAGTGATGAATCTTGGTACATTCCACATCACATTGTACAGCACAATGGAAAGAATCGTTTGGTGTTTACTTGCTCGTACAACTATGAAGGCAGAACCCTCAATGAGAACTTACTTCCTGGGCCTCAACTTGGATCATCCTTGATTGGAGTCTTACTGCGTTTCAGACAGCACAGCATAGCTATCTCCGGTGACATAAAGACCATGTTCCACCAAGTGAGATTACTGCCAAAGGACCGACCCTTACTACGATTCATCTGGCGCAACATGGACCAGACGGTTCCACCAAACATTTATGAATGGCAAGTGCTTCCATTCGGCACTACTTGTAGCCCTTGCTGTGCAATATATGCGCTGCAGACACATGCACATGGTCACAAGGAGGAAAACCCTGATGCGTACAGATCAGTCACCACAGCTTTCTATGTGGACAACTGCTTAGACAGCGTTCCAACTGCAGCAGAAGCCAAAGATTTAGTACATGGCATGAGTGCTTTGCTGGATAAATGTGGCTTCCACCTCAGACAGTGGATCAGCAACATTCCCTCAGTCGTGGCTGATCTACCTACAGAGGACAAGGCAGCCAATTGTGAACGTTGGCTCAGTCTTGGCGAGACAGGACTTACGGAGGGAACCTTGGGACTCCAATGGCGATGTGACAGTGATGTGCTTGGATATAGGATCAAAGAGATTAGCCATGATTGTCTCACCATGAAAGTCATATATCGAATCTTGGCCAGCCAGTATGACCCCTTAGGATATTTAACTCCTTTCACCGCAAGAGCGAAAGTCATCATCCAAGATCTGTGGAAATTGAAGAGAGATTGGGATGCACCTATTGTGGAGGGAAGTGAATATGAGAAGTGGTGTTCATGGGAAAATGAGCTACCAGACACGGAGAAGGTTAATCTACCACGTTGTTACACACCTCATCATGTCGATACTACAAATTCAGTTCAACAGCTGCATATCTTCTCGGATGCCTCAGAACGTGTGTATGGTACAGTTGCCTTCCTTCGGACAGTGTATCAGGGAACGGTTTATGTCAGCTTTGTACAAGCCAGATCCAGAGTCGCTCCAAAACGACAACTTTCCATACCTCGACTTGAACTATCAGCAGCTCTAGTAGGAGCACAACTTGCAGACATGCTGATCAGAAAACTTACCTTACCAATTGAAAGAGTCACCTTGTGGAGTGATTCAACAACAGTGCTGTCTTGGCTGAAATCTGATTCATGCAGATATAAAGTATTTGTTGGAACCAGGGTTGCAGAGATTCAAACTCTAACCAATGTTGCGGACTGGCGGTACGTGAACACAAAAGACAACCCCGCTGATGATCTTACTAGAGGCAAGACCCTGGAGGAGCTTACAAATTCTTCCGCTTGGAAGAATGGTCCATCCTTCCTTCTACGATCACAAGAAGAGTGAACTCCTCTCAGATTGCGGCAGCAATTTCAAGGGTGCAGAAAGAGAACTGAGAGAAACTTGGATGACCATGGAACAAAGTTTAACCAACCAACTAGCTGGATGCAACGTGAAATTCAAGTTTAATCCCCCCCTATGCTCCTCACTTCGGTGGAGTATGGGAGAGGGAAATCAGGTCTGTCAAAAATGGACTGAAGGTTGCATTGGGTGATCAGTCAGTATCAGAATCTGTGCTCCAGACGGTGTTAATTGAGGTTGAAGGAATACTCAATTCAAAGCCACTAGGCTATGTGTCTACTGATGCCAAGGATGTTGACCCCATAACTCCTAACATTCTATTGATGGGACGTAGAGATGCATCCCTTCCACAGGTAGTGTACCCTGCTGATGAGCTTCTTGGTCGGAAAGGGTGGCGCCACAGCCAAGTGTTAGCTGATCAATTCTGGAAACACTTCGTGAAATATTACCTACCAACCCTACAGGTTCGACAGAAGTGGCAAGGAGATAAACCTGACCACAACAACTTGATGTGCAATGATGTTGTCATGATTGCAGACCCTCAGACCGTTCGTTCCTTATGGCGGGTAGGAAGAGTAAGCAGGGCTTACCCAGGTGATGATGGGAGGGTTCGATCTGCAACAGTCCTTGTCGGAGACCAGGAAGTTACCAGACCGGTGACCAGACTCATACGCTTACCGGAGTGTGCTGACAGTGATGTAAAGTGAATCTTTAAGTGACAGTGATGTAAAGTGAATCTTTAAGTGACAGTGATGACATTTTCAGTTTATATCAAAGCAAATTTTGTCCCAAAATTTGGGGGGCAGCTGTGTTAGAAAGGATTTGATTTGTTTCGCTTTAGTTTTTATTCCGCTGACCATTCCCACTTTTCAATTAGAGGTTTCAGTTTTAGTAGATTTTTTTTACAAGATGGCAGCCTCCATGTAACCAACTGCTGCCATGTGCTCTGAAATAAACACTTGGAATAACGAACAGACACTTCTTTTCAGTAGGCTTCAAACCATTCAGGCTCACCCAGGGTCTACTAATTACCGCCATGTTGCTTTACCCAGCTGTGAGCAAGATCAAAGAATGTGATGTAAATGGGTGACTGGATTGAAGTCATCTTATCATTGAAAGTCAGTGTGGCTTAAGACACCAGAGGAATACCATTGAACATTGTCAGAGGAGTGCTTAGTGTGTTTTTATAAGCAAGCTACATGTAGATTTCATGTTCATTTATTCAGAAAATAAACGCTATACAATGCTAAAGTTTTAAATGACAACATCAGTGGCATCTTTCTTCATTAATTTTGTTTGTGATTTTACATTCTCATGTGGTGGTAGCAACGTGAATGCCATTCAATGGCAAGTGCAGTTTGTGCCATTAAGCTACAAGAGGTAACTGGAAAACAGGGTTCTTTTTAAGTTTTCCAAACCTAAAACATGTCATGTTCAGTCTTGTAGTAAAGGCAAAGTACAGAATCATCAAGATTTTATAGTTTGCAACTCGAATGTATCTATTTTCACATTTTTATTTATTATTTACACAGTTTATGCAAAACTATCCCTTCAATCAGCAATCTAATCCCATCATCCACCACGGCTTCCACAATAAAGGAAGTCGGACAACTGGTAGGCTTGATCACGTACATTGTTCACACCTCTGACACATGTAAATTGGGTGCCACGGGCGAAAGCCAATTATGTGCCTGACAGTGTGAGTTCGAATCCTGGATTGGACTCAACCTAACAAAAGTACTAAATGCTGAACTTTACTGAGAAAGTGTAATCTCAAATAGAACATATGTTTGCCATATATTTGACAACTTTCTAAACGGCATTGTGTATTCATTGCTATCGTTAAACTAGAACGATACTTCAAGATCCGGATTCGAACTGTCACAAAGCAATATATATTCATGCATAACTTCATATTGTACCCGACCTCCTCCGTGGTGTAGTGGTTAGAGCGTCCGCCCGGAGAGCGCAAAGTCGCGGGTTCGATCCCCGGCCGCGTCATACCAAAAGACGTTAAAATAGGGTACTTGTTGGTCCCTGCTGGCGCTCAAGCTTTGGGGTATGGATTGAGGGATTCAAACTGTTGGGTGTTTATTGAGGGATTCAAGCTGTGGGGTGTGGATTGAGGGATTGACGAGACTCGTCGAGACGGCATCTCTCATATCGTGTACAAAATAACAAAAATGACGTGATCGTGTTGGTTGTCAATGTGGCCACAACCTGAAATCTATGCTTCATCTGGAAATTAAAGCCTATATTTACAAACATGTAGGTACAAAATGCTTTTTTTCGGTATCATATTTTCCGTAACCATATAATGTACATTAGCCAGTGTTTACTCTTCACATCCATCCATTCATCCATCCATCCTTCCATTCACCCGTCCGTCCGTCCGATCGTTTGTTCGTTCGTTCGGTCGGTCGCTCTTTCGTTCATTTATTCATTCATTCATTCATTCATTCATTCATTCATTCACCGCTTCCGCGGTGTAGTGGTTAGAGCATCCGCCCGGAGAGCGGAAGGTTGCGGGTTCGATCCCAGACCGTGTCATACCAAAATGTGGTACTTGTTGGTCCCTGCCTGACGCTCGGCATTAATGGGTTCAGCAAGGACTGGTCGGCTCGGAGTCAGTATAATGTTTCTGAGTAGGGGATTCATGCTTCACTGTGGCATGGTATCTCAGCGAGCTAGCACTATAAAACCAGCTTAAGTCTGGGCTAGTACAAGCAGCCACACATACACATACACACGCATGCACGTCATCATATAAGCGAAATGTTCTCAAGCATGACGTTAAACCCAATTTCACCTCACCTCACCTCATATTGTACCCTTATCCCTACTTTACCGTGAATATCCGGGTTAGAATTGGTCTTACTTGCTGACGCGGTTAATGCATGACGTCATATCTAAATTGTGTAAGTCGATGTTCATGATGTCAATCACTGGATTTTTTGGTCCGGACATCGATTTTTTTAGAAATTCCCGTACAAACGGGTCTTCAGTGTTTACCATTATGAATCCAAAGCTGAAATGTACTTCTCCACTTAAAACTGTATATCAAAAACGTCAGAATATATTCTTCTTGAAAAGTGCTTCAATCAATCGCCCTGCTACTGCGCACTGCTGTCAAGTAGCTTAATTGTCTACCCCATGTTTGAAGGTAACCAATATGTGGATGTGTTGTTCTGTCGGTGACATTACTTGCCCTTTACTGAGCACTCGTTCGTGCATTGTATTTGCGTCTAATTTAGCTACTTGAACATGTTTGGTCTGTGATTGAGACTTTTGCCACATACAGGTTGGTTATTACCTTCTATAAAGCTGAATTCAACAACATACATGACAGGTGTAACGTAGCGTAGTCTTAAAATACTGCGAATCAGTCTAAATAACCTGTGTATGAATTCTTCATTAAGGTTTGTGTTTTTGTTGTGGAGGAGGAAGTGGACCTTTTAGAGTGGGTCAGTTTAGTTTTATTTTTGAAATATTCCATTATTATCACGGCGGGGAACACCAGAAATGGGCTTCACATGTGGTGAATCGAACCCGGGTTTTCGGCGTGACGAGCGAACGCTTTAACCACCAGGCTACCCCACCGCCAACATTGTACCTAAAATGACATTTATAATAAATTGTTTTTTGAAATGCCTTTTTGTATTTATTTATGAAATTAAATATTACATCTTCTCAGGCGACATTAAAGGGGAAACACTTGACGTGTAGCATTAATCTGTGCCATCCATTCCGTTGATATCCCAACTGCTGACCTTAACACTACAGCTGTAACAGCTGTCAATCAACTTCCGGAAGAAATCATATTAAAATGAAATAGAACGTTATCTCACGTTTGTCACCGAACAACGAATCACTTTGTTTAAATGTCTATGATCACAGGTACAACAGTGCATCAAGCCTAGATAGTGCTTTCTGACGTATTCTTTGTTTTAGCTCAGACATCGACAAATGAATGTACACACGGGGTACGTTTTTCAGTATCGTATTGTTAATTATTAAAACCAAGAACACAAACCTCAGTATGTGCATTCTACCGAGAATATAGACTACATACTTTGAAAAGTAGTATTTGACCTGTTGAACTAACTGTTGCTTTCAGAAGTGGGTCAAGGTCATCCGTATCTGTGTAGCTAAGCAGAAGATGTCTGGGGTGCGGAATTGTCGGTTTCCTTAAAGGGTTTCTAGCTATTTTGAGTTGTGCTTCAGTATGTCCGCAGTTAAGAGATGTCCTTGTCAACGTTCTGACAGCGAACCACAGATAGTGTCTGTCACGTGACAATGTGCAGGACGTCATAATAATAACTTATTCTTAACCAGCTATTTTCTAATTGAGCCTTTTTACTGTGAAGAGCTGGTTGATAATATAGTTTTCTCTTTTAAGTGACAAGAACTTTCAAAGTTTGCTATTCCTGTTCTGTCAGTGCTGGTATTTAACGCTTGAATACATTTTCATGCACAGCTCTAGCCGTGACCCAAATCGACGGTACAAACGAAGACGTTATCAATTTGTAATGACCTTGAGATTCCTTCTTCATTCGAGCTCGTTTCAGCGTCACGTCAAAACACGTGAGCATCATAATACGATCGAGTGAGTACATGGTTTGCGTGCGTATATGAATGAGTGAAATAAAAAAAGTACCAGAATAGTTCTAGCATGTTAGACGCATGACGTTGTTTTCAGAGTATATACGGTATCAGTACGGTATAACGGTATCGCGGCAAGGTGATTTGTCCGAGGGCATTGTCTTCGTCACCAGCAGCGTGGGTCGTTTCATAACGTCAATAAATCAGTTGATCGATGCTCTGATATTTACAGGCACACGTCATAAAACTGGAACATAGCTGAAAATTCGATATCACAGATCAGATTGACAGTACTCCAATCACTAAAAATGTTCGTCATAAACAAATATTGCCACTGAATATAAATTTTATAAACGATGAAGTCGAAGTAGCGCTTTTGTGAT